ACTCGAAAAACTAGCTCATTTCTACAATACTTCCGCCGCGGAATTTACGATAAGAAGGATACGATGTAGCTTGAATATTAGAGGAAAGAAGAATATTTAAAATAATCGATAAGGTTTTCACACTATCTCAGCAGTTTTACAGTTGTTTATTAAGTTATACGGCAATACTGCGACTCCGAGTTTCCCGAAAACTCTTATTATTACTCTTTGCTAACTAAATCATTCATAATACTGATAATCAATATCAAATACACATCGAGACGTTTTTAGCCGATTTAGCTCAATTAAACGGCTGCCCTAAATTCAAACACTGATCTCATTTATTGGAATTTCTTTTTACATCTTGTCCCAAATAAACGGTTGCCTCAATTAACCGGTGACCCTATTTATTAACCGGAATCGACTGTAATTAACTCTTTTGATCACGGCACAAACGTATTTGAATCGTCCTTCTTGTCGTAAGATCTATTGCCTATTTCAAACAAAATTACTTGTTTTATGAAGACACCTGACGCATATCGAGCGTGGGGTGTTAATACTTAGCACTACATGTAACTTAACGCGGATTTAGCCGTGTATAAATAAAAGTAGAAGAGACCAAGTGTGTGTCAGAGAAAGAAGTGATTTAAAAAAAGTGACTGATGGGGGATCTCTCTGACTGTCGTTGGGAAACAGGCGAGTCGTATTTTTACGCTTAATATTCATTTCTTGGTCCCTCTTTCTCTTTCAGTATTTATATAGCACAGCCTTGCTCCCCTTCTCTCCATACGAACGATTCTTGTTCGATTCTGGTTCTTCCTCATCCTGCCGGCAAAACGTGAGTAACTCGATGTTTGAGGCCGCTGAGATCAGAGGATTACATAGGACGAAATATTTGTTATAGGAGAATTTCTTGTTTCCATTGCGGAAATGTAGATTTCTCCCGCCAGTTTCCACCCTACAGAGTTTCCGGTTCTCCAGAGTGGCCCGTCATCGGTCATCCGGACAAGACCTTTCCTCATGCTGTTAAGGGTGCGTCCTGTGTTGAACGGGGGTGTGTTGTCTCGCCATCACTGTGTCGAACTCTAGCTCAGTTTAGTCGGCCGGAGTATGGTCTGTCGGGAATTCGGGGGGGAATATTGGGTACAGGACGCCTACAACATAGATAGATATTGAGTGTTGGAGATGTGTCCACAAAATTCAAAGCGGAAACATATTGACAGAGAGGGGGGGCAATCATTGTACGGAAGAGAGATGCAAAATCAACACATAGATATAAGGAAGCTTGAGAAATTTAATGTTCGATTTTAATGTTTTAAATTCTTTCACAGCACGTTGTAAATATAATAAAACTTACGTATCTTAATTGGTAAACAATGAGGATAAGCCAAGGTCGAGTGATAGTACCAATAACAATTTGATAACAACATATTTGATGAAATAAGAAAAAAGGAAGATGAATCCTCATTGTTCATCAATTTGATTTATTCAACGAGCCCAGAGATTGTGATTTTTGTATTACATATTTTAATTAATTATTAAAAAAGATATAATAAACTACGAAGTATATATGTAATATCAGATAATAAAGAAATAATATAATTCTGATAATGTAATGTAGATTAAATAATTATATGGTTAGAAAATAAAATTGGACATCTAATTATTTAATAACAGAATATTAAAGTGATTACACGTTCTTCATTTAATCGGACATTAAAATTCTATTGAAATAACATCAAGCATCAAACAAAACTGATCACATATTTAGGCTGAAAAAAAAATATTACACGTATTACAAAGCATGAAACGGAGAAATCTTGTCTATACTTGATGAAATATTACTAATAAAAAGGAATAATGATGATATTTTTGGAATTAATAGAAAATAGAAGATTTGCTGCACAACATGCTCAAGTTTTGACAGTAAAATACATGCAGAAATAAGTATAAGTAAAAGATATTCAATCGCATTGCTGTCATCTTATACCATAAATTAATTCAAGCAAAGAGAAATAATATATCGTATATCGTTTATCAATAGCAGTGCTGAATTTGAAAGTAGAAACAATATTAAAATGTAATTAATTTGAAATCAATATATTCTTAACCCATTAATGGCCAACGATCAATTTATATTATAAAATAATGCCCTCTTAAACTTTTCAATATTTAATTTCTAACAATAATTATGATTTAAATAATATTTTTTGTATTAGAATTATATGGCCTTTAATGAATTAAAGCCAACTTTAACAGGATTTTGTGTGTACGCAAACATATTCGTTATAATTTTGATAGTGCTACTTTAAAAACATAATCCGGAACGCATAAAAGAAAACGTACTACGGGGTCACAAATATCAGGTTCAAGATCTACTGAAAAGAATACACAGAACGCGAATACGCATCCCCGTGCTCGGGGAGAACACATTCACGAATTCTGGCGTTTCGATCAATTCAATATGCAAATATCAAATCGATGCTTTCAATCGGGAAAGATAGATTTACTTCGCGATAACGATTCATTGATAGACTCATCGGAAATGCGTCTTCGACTGTTCGTAAGAATAATGTTCTTTTCATGTAATCTTATTTTTCACGTACGTACTCATGTATATGTACATACATATGTATGCATGTTCTGTACGCATATGTACGCATATATACATGTATAGATCAGATATTCTATAACATTTTACTTCCTATATACACATTTATATTGCAATAAGACAGTGCATTTTCCTCTTAATCGATGCGCACACGGCGCCAATATTACAACATGTCTTTTGAGATGTACCGCTGAAAAACTTAGCCAAGTAACCCCTCCAATATCATTTTAATAACGTTAACAATATTTTTTTAGGAGAAATTTATCTTTGTTCGGAATTATAATTATGGTTTCTTGGTCGAATTTAGCGATTCGAATAAAAATTGCTATAAAAATTAATGTATGATATAAAAATTAACAAGAGCATATATAGCGTTTTATGTTAATCGATGAGAACTATGCTGTCCGCAACATTTGGAATTAGAAGTACATAGTGATTTTGCTGTATGGGTTTCCGTCGCTCATCATCGCGGCCGCGAAGTTTTGCTCATCAAGGGCTCTCTATTTCATAATCGGGGGTTACTTTGCCCACGTACAATCAAAGGATTTGGCACAAGAAGTACAGAAGAGATGCGGAAAAGATATGCGTGTTTTTTTTTTAATGCAATTTCGAATTATCATTTATATACCGACGACGTGGAAACATTTCAAGATTCTCCATTCGTAGCACACAGCGGACCCGTTAAAATCACTTTATTGTCTCTCTTGTAAGTATTTTGCAACACGGAAGTATTACTTTCTTGTGTCAAACTCTTTAAAATATCAAAACTACGCCGACAGTAAACCCATGATTCACTCTTCGACTGAATATTAACCACTTCGATAATCGGCTGCTGTGCTTTTTCAAATATTTTTTATAACATTATACATATACGCGCAGCGATTTGGAGATTCTCAGCTCACGGTGCACAATAGAATTACATACTTAGTCAGTGTTAACGTTACGAGATAAGCATACTAGAATAACATATAAGGCTGGCTTAAATGGAAGCATGTATATAATGCGTCGAGTAAAGTGTACATCGCGATCACTATGTATATTACATTGCTGCATAATACTCTCTTTCATTTTATAAACAATATAGAGGTTGATATATTCATCAATCCGGCACATTTTCTCTACAATTAATATCAGGCCTTAACATCTCCACGATATCATTCATGTAAATTATTATAATAAAATGTAAAGCACGGGAGAAACGAGCGCCTTCAAAAAGGCAAAAAAATGTTAAATTATCCGATTAAACAATTTATAGACAAATTTCCGAGATAAAATTATTATATAATTCTTCGTTGTAAGACTTGAAGTCGATATTCCACCAAGCTATCTCAAAATGCATTTGATACATTAATTTTTATAATATTACATTGCGCGTTTAATACACGAGAATCGCTACAGATGCAATTACGGGCGTAAAACAAGCGATTCTTCTTATCGATTCTATAAATTTCACAAAATTTTAGAAGCATCTTTATATATTTATTCCAGATTAATATGTTATAGAGATTTCCCGTCAGCTCCCAGAGATTTGACAATCCAGCCTATTTCTCTTTCTTCTTTTAAAAATAAATAGTACACTAAGGAAGAGCACACTATCAGAAGGTGGAATATTCATACGGAATTAAATCGAGATGGCTCTAAGTATCCCGATAACAATATTCGGTGCAGCGTATGCACACATCATATGATATGCCAAATCGGAAAACTATACCTTGTAAAAAGGTTTCTATCTGTTCTTATCTCATCGTTATCTTTTAACGACTCACACTAGCGCAAAAATGACTATTCCATAAATAAACGAAAAAAAAAAACTCTCAGTAATCTACCAAGGAAGATAATGCTAACAAATCTACGAATATATTTCTAATAATATAATGTAGAGAGCGTGAATTTCTTTTAATATAATGTTCAGAACGACATTACGGTTACCTCTTGTTATCTCGATGCGTTTTGACATTGCTTCAAAGGATTAATATATACGCACCACATGTCTGTATATGTACAAGGTATCTGTACAATATCGTTACAATAATGTACCATTTGTGATTGCACGTGGAATTTCCTTCGATACTCTTTATAATTCTTTGCAATACATGACATTGATTAGTATTTTATTAGTTGCCTAAATCATGAGCTAATATATCTTTGTTCATGACGCAAAAGCAAGTTAGTCCGACGTGCTTCGAAGGAGCGTTAAGATTCACAAGTTTCATTTCACTTAAAACAACAAGATGGTTGAGCTTTTGCAAAAGCCTAAAAATGAGTATTAAGTTAATGAGTAAATTAAAGAAATATTATGAGTTAAAATAAGTTAAAAATGGATATATATATGACTGCAAAATATGTTATTAGGCCTTCTTGATATTCGCATGTGTAACTCGAATAGAGAATACAAATCCTAATTACAATAGCGTATTAATTGCAGCGGCATGTGAAATTTACGGTCTTGTTTAGTTCATTATTGGACTTATGGCGTTATAATAACAGTTAGAATACGAAGTGCGCAATGACACAGAAAAAACGAGTCTTCCGCCGACGCTTCCTGCGGCGTTCTTCTAAATTCATTTATCTATCCAAGGAGACATTCAACATTCTACTGTAACAAAAAATATTTTCTCTCTCTTTAATTGCACTTCGATTATCGCCTTTGAATTTTGCCTGGATCACTGCGCAAACATACTCCAAACGCAAATAAATCGCTCCATGTATAGTACGATCCATCTTTACAACAGAAATTTTTAACGTAACGCTTTTTCTCTCATAAATTTTAAGCAACAGATTCATATGAAATTGTGTCACTGCTGTAATTATATGATCACACAACTCATTTAACGTAATTTTCTTCCAAATGTAAAAGTTTCGTATAAAAATGTGTACTATACAAATCTTGAAGCACGTCGTTGCTCTGCGAGTATATACGAAAGTAGCTAATTACAAAAAGAATTCATCTTATATACATATATAGCTAGATCGCAAGCATGATCAGGGGGGCCTCGAGAGAAATAACTATATAAGTAATACAAAATACAACGTCACACTCCTGAATGTGCCTGTCGAATGTGATGTACACTCATTACATTACTCGTGATACTTATGATTATTATTACTCTCGATAAATATAATTACTGTTAGCTTTAACTATTCAGAAAGAAAGGGAGGAAGGAGAGAAAGAAGGGAGAGAAAAGAGAGGAGGAGGGAGGGACAGGAGAAAGAGAGAGAAATTTTGTGACTCCGGATTTTCATGCAAAATCCTTGAGGCATTCTACGCTATATCACATCCTATGTCTGAGCACATTTTTTCTTGTTTATATCTCGTAAAGATTATGTAATATTTCTTTATTTTCTTATAGTACATATACAGGGTGTATCAGAAAAAATTGTACAAACTTCGGGAGTTTCCCACACCTGACAAAGAAAAAAGTACATATGAACTTGTGTCCGGAAATGCCTTTGTACGTAAGATTTTTATTACAGTCCATGATGTGTCCATACGTGTATTCAAGCAGATGGAGGACATTTTGAGCATTTATTGTGATTTGTAACCAATTAAACAATCGAACTCGAGAATTATTACATTGATAATGTGTAAATGTTACATATTGTAATCATTTGAAGTAAACTATGATAATCTATTTCTGTTGAATGTAATTTTTTTATTGTAACTCAAAAACCAGGCATTTCCGGACGTATGTTTATAACCTTTTTTCTTGTTATAAGCGTGGGGAACTCACTCTCGAAGTTTGTACAAGTATTTCTAAAACACTCTATATATATAAATATATATATATATATACACATATATATATTTCATGTAATACAATGACTTTTTGCCATTAAAGAATTTTTTTTTAAACAAACTGGATATACATTCGTGAATTTTAGCTATCTTTCCAACAGCATGACATTTTCTCATCTATCTTATCACCGCTGATGACGCTGTTCGACATTTTCTTCAATATTGCAATTATTGAATGCAGTTGACATGATCATACCACAATATTAATATTAAACTCGCTCCTCAACAATGGAATGTTCTCTATAATCAACGCGAAGCTACTGTCGATCACATTATCAGGTTCTGGTAGACTTTCCAGGATAGATTCACTGGATGCAAGTACAATTGTTTTAGAAGGAGATTCATAATATTTTTACCTTACATTCACTAACAAGACTACGTGCAAATTTTCACACTTACACATAGTGTGAAAATAACAACGAAATTAGATTAACTGTGCTATCTCTACGTTAGAATCCAGCTTTTTTTTTTACACACGCATATATATATATATTTTAATTTGCAATATTTCCTGACCATCGTACTTTGATTCCAGTTATAGTCGTTAAACGTTCTTTATTGCTCCGTTAGAGTGACTTTTGTTGGAAAATACCATAATCAAATATAAGAACATTCAAGGTAATATGCAGTATTGCAAGATATAGTATTTTTATACATATGTGTGTATATATATATATATTTGTCACCTATAATAGATATATATATATACTCTTATGGAATTATTATTATCTATATAAATATGCAACGTAAACAAATATGTTATATGCACATACATGTGCGCAGATTTAATTCCAAAGGCATGACTGTTAATTAAGTTGATAGACACACCATGCAAGAGAGAAAGTAAAACAGGGGTAGGAGATGAGACTGAATTAGTAATTATTCTGCGGAACTTCGGTTATAAAGATCTATTCAAAGTGGAGAGACGTCGGAATTAGTTCATTCTCAACCCTGAACAGTCTACCATCTACTGCACAACTTAAACGATTACCCATTATACATTATATCGTCAAGGGAAAAATACAATTCACAATTGATGAGTATCTATTTACTTGATCTTGAACGCATCCATTAGCTCGTTCACGGCGGCCTGTGCTGCAGCCTGTGTCGCAGCTTGCGTCACCCTCTGTTGTAGACCACCCCCTCGACTAAACACATTATGGATACCCAGCTTTGAACTACATATCTCATTCTTGTCTCTAATTTGATTTGGGGACATACATCATATAGCGTAGCTAAACTTAATTTATGATGCGTGTCTCTTGTGTGGGGAAAGCGTGCATAATGCCTTTTTAAAAAATGCGTATCCGCGAGATAAAGTAACGTGACTGTGTAGCTTTGTAACAATAGTTATAAAAATGTTTCTCGTAATAACAACGCGATATATTTAGATCTGACAACTTTTCGGCTGTCAAGACTACACTCGGCTTATTTCCCATTTATAAGTACCATTATATATGCCATCCATTTGTAACAATTATATATGCCACTATTTTCTTTGCTTTTAATAAATTGTAATGCAGGCACCGACATATTTGTCCATAAATAGTAATTGACAAGTTTCAAATTGGTGTTAGACTTTATAAAAAACATTTACATGATAAGGGACGTATGAAATGGTAATGCTGTTATGCAATTAAAAAGCTTTGAACTTGCACATTAAAATGGGATATACCGCAATTTTTAATATTACAGGAAATATATAAATAGTAAATACGATTAGTAAACAACATTAATAGATTTTCCAAAGACGCAACCGATGTTTTTCACATGTTCAGTTGCACTTTGTCGAAATGTCATGCTGTTAGTAAGTAAATAAATAGTTATCTATCTGCCGTAAGAACACAAAGTCCTTTATTTGACAATATTTTCAACGATATATACATATATGATATACAGCTTCATCAAAGTAATTTACAATAAAACATGCTCGACTATGTATATTATATATATCTCCATTTTCTACGAACAAGAAAATTGTACCTTCGGAAATATTTAATAATGCACAGATTTCACGTACTATTGATGCTAAAATACAACTACAATTAGGGGTGTGTTAATTTTCGCGAGAAAAGATATTATACATAGAGTACATGTATGTATGTATATGTAATTACATTAAAATTATTATACTGTTCACGCAATATAAGTATTAATTAACAGAAAAAATACTATAAAACGTAACAACACAATTGTTCTACCCTTTCTTGAATCTTCATCAATTACTGAATCACTTAAAAAAATATGTCGTTGTCATATTACGCAGGTGAAATATGCTAGACGAGTTGTTTGATATCTGGAAGCTCGATTAGTTTCCGAAAAACACAAAAGAAAATGTGCAATACTAACACGATCGGAATAATTTCTCGTATAACTCTTCACATCTCTATTTAATTAACATCGACCTTGTAATATCTGTAGTATATGCAGACAGATAGTACGGGAACATTAGGAAACAGTGTGTTTTGTGTAAAATATACACTGACTATAAATGCAACGGATACAGTATTGATTAGTAGCGAATAGGCGAGTTAGTGCGGAGACTTATTGTCGGCGCCTGCAATAGAAAGTGAAGTTAGCACCCAAGCCCCAATCACACAAGCTACTGGTTTAATATAGACCGGCAAGACTCTCAAGAAAGCTGAAAATTCTTTTACGTTCTCACGACTGTATAATGAAAATACAGTTTTCATGTTATTGCTCGCGTTATTATATACTTGGAACACACAATCAGCAAAGGATATATTATTCTGTGAATTAAAACTTTAAGTGCGCACAGAATTGCATCAGTTGGCATCAGAATTGCGATCGATGAAGTAATGAACCGCGATATACAATTTTAAATCTTCCTTCTATGACATTACCAGATGGTATATTTAGTTTTAGCTTAAATTAGAAGTTTTCTATTAAATATTGTACTTACGATGGTATCATAGGTGGAGGTAGGCCAGGGTTACTTCGCGATGGTGGTGGTCCGCCCGGACCAGGTCTATTAGGAATGGCTGGTGCTGGCCGGCCGCCTGCAGGTACTGGTGGTGGCGCTCGTGAGCTAGAAAGAGGTGGTGGCTGTGTCACTCCGCGTCTTGGACCACCAGGAGATGGTGGCGATAATCTAGAATAGCATAGCATGTCTTATGATCGATATTTTTATTATTTTAGTGCTTCAATCCGGCCTTTAAGAAGTTGGAAAAAAGTTACAAACAATATGTGCTACTATAAAGATTGCTATATACAAAATTTTTGTCCAAGTGTGTGTAATATAATTTTTTAATGACTATAATTGACATGAGGTATATGAAATAAAACATGGTCTCTTTCAATTTATATATTAATAAATAAATAAAATTTTAACAATATTGTATAATCTAACTTAATACTTTTATATAACAAAATATCGTTAATGCTTGAAGAAAACTCCACTCTTGGGAAAACCATGCATAATATAAACATATTTCTTACAGCAAAAATTCAGGATTCAGTTCAGGGTTTTTTGTTGTTGAGGATATTTGTTTAAGAAAAAATAAAGATAAATACATTATATGTAAAGGATCTTACCCAAGACTGTTTCAACGGTGTTCAAATGTATGGCAAAGCAGACGGTACAAAATGTAAGGATGAAAAATTAGTAAAATGCGCGACACACTGTGCTAGGAATAACATAAAAGTTACCTCGGATTTTCGCCGGATGCCAGCCAGTCGTTTTTCACGGGTGGTGGTACCGGAGTTGTAACTGTGGCCATAGAAACATCTCCGATGATGCGCAACGCTTCTTTGCATGCATGATACATGCGTAGCATCTCTTCCCGTTTTTGCGCTTCCTCGGGAGATTCTTCCATCATAGAAGCCTGCAATTTGAGTATAAGTTGTAAACTTTTGACATTTTTTTCGACAACAAAAATATAAATAGATAGGACCAAATAAATGTAACATTGTTACGTGTACACTTATTTGGAATATAAATTTTTTTTATATTAAAAAGTTATAAACGTGTTTCTTTCAAACCAAGTGCGGAATAAAGGAGAAGGATGAAAAGGATAAGGACTTACAATTACAGGGTCATTGAATATCTTCAGTGTATTTATTTCATCTTTGATTGACTAGGAAATGATGGAGAGAATTAATTTATAAAAATTTTTAGAAAAGAAAATCGTTTTGCAGTGAACTATCGTATATTTGTAATATTGATTATTTTAATATGTTTTACCTGATCGCCACTTGCATAAAGATGCGCCAATAGTTCCCCGTTAATGAAATCTTTAGCATTGTTAATAATAAGATGCATAATTGTCTTTGGAACCAGATCACGGGTAGTTTTTGTAACGATCTTCATATAAGAATCCACCAGGTTTCTAATAGTTTCCACTTGACGCTCCAATTGAGGATCCATCGATGATTGACCTTCCGATCCACCCTGCAGGAATAAAAACAACTTTGCTTAGATATTCTCAGTGCATCTTGTTTATGTTTTCAATTGGGATACTTTCAAATGTTCATTGACTAAAGCATATATAAGCCAACACTCGCAGTACTGCAAGATATTGGAGTATCGAAATATAGAATAACATGGTGTTTCATCGGTTATTTTTTCTTTTTTTTCAATGATGTGCTTAGTTGAAAAAGTGTCCAATGCTCATGTAAGTGTCGTGTGCCTTGTAATTTTTTTTTAAACACAATTGTACCAACCTCATATCCTTCCTGCTTAGTTGATTCAAATAAAAGATAAAAAGAACACCATTACTATTATGCACACAGTACAAAAAGTTATTAGTTTTATTTTGGAAATAGTTAGATATAAAAATCCACACAATTTGTATAGACGTTTCGAATATGATTAACGATACGCAGAAAATAATTAAAATTTTATTCATATAACACCTTTTTTAAACTAATATAATGTAAATAAATAATATCAGTATATTAAATTTCATAAAAATTTATGTTAATTTTGCACATGTATTTAAATTTTATTTTTAATTTTACATCGCATTTTTGAAAAGTAAAGTCTATTTTTCTAAAGCAATTATATTGTTATCATTTTGTTAGTTGTTTCTAACAATATAATTCACATCACACAATTAATGAATTAAGAATAAAATTTTCATCTATATTGCCTTTATTAACTCACCCTCTGCTTATCCTAAAATAAATTAAAATCGATTCTAATAAATATAATAAATTATCGTTGCAATGCAAAATAGTACATGTCGTTTTTCATATATAATAAAACTCTGATTCGTGAAACTAATTCAAATATATCTTTTCTGTTACATTAACCAACATAAAACATAAATTGTATTTTTTAACGGGAACATACACATTATTGTCGAATCGTGTCCCGATTAACAATAAACTTACCTCTCCTTCACCGTTCGCTTGTTCCGTTGATTTTTCGGGATACACACCAGCCCGCAGGAATGAAGCTTTCCAAGAATCAACATCGTCTTGTGTTTCACAACTCAACTCCAGCTGTTTGTAATCCTTATACACGTTTCTGCCCTCTGGATTGAATAACGCAAATAGATGACGTCGTGACATGAAACCTTGTTCCAGATCACGCAGTTTCAGTCCGTCCAAAGGCAACATGTACTTCTTCTCTCGTTCCTTTGCACATAGAAATACAGTAAATTAGAACTCTCCGATATCAATTATTTTCCTGTAGCATATAACTTTACAATTTTTGACACTTAATATTAAAAAAGGAATTGAATTAAATAATTATAAAACATATTTACTTCTTCATCCTTGAACCAGGAGATACTCTCCGATGTCAAAACAAACCAATAATCTTTCGAGCCGCCCTTCATAATACCGAGATTATGTATGCACATGTAGCCTTTGCGAATTACTTGATTGCCTAATGTGTGCCGTCCAGATTTAACGGAGTTTTCAGAGGACTGCTGTGCACTGCAACATAGATAATAGTATATAATGAAATGCCAAATAATAAATAAGTTTCATATACCCAACTGCGAGGATTGTTGTCGTCAAATCTTACATTAGTTAGTTATAATAAAAGAAAACAGCAAGATGAATATCCTACCTAGCATCCATGTTTTAAATACATACACTATGTTTTAAAACAGAAAATAAATTAAATGTTTGCTTATTGTAAAACAGCTTACGTTACAAAACTTTCAATTATACGAATGCTGCTAAATTCAATGTGAGATATCTTTATTTTACAATAAAGATGATAATGAAGATGGACAGTACTTTGTGCCTTTACGTACAAAAATCAGTGTATATTCGTATAACTATTTCAAAAAAATCCATTGAAGAAAATCTTTACTTTCAAATATAGGATATATCAGAATTATTGTGTATTGCCATATTGCTTCATGCATCTTATGCTTCATGTAGTTTTAAAAGCGTATATTTGTTGCACGCTACATAAACAACATTAGCATATCACAAACATATATA